GTCGGCACGCAGACAGCAACTCCCTTCACACCCCCCCCCCGCCCCTCTTCCCCCCTTTGACAACCACAACACAATCAGAGCACTCGCCTGGGGGGACTTGACCTCAACCAGAGCGATCGCCGGCCCTCCCCGCTGCACGTCCGTGGACAGCACTCGGCCATCCTCGCCGCAGGACAGCACCCAGCCCGCCGCCCCCGGCACCAGCGCCAGCTTGTGCGCGCGGCCATTGTGGCGCGCCACGCAGCGCGTGCGCACCGAGCCGCCCTCGCCAGCCAGCCCCAGTCGCACCTGGCCGTCTGCGCCTGAGGAGACCACGGTGCGATTGTCGGTGCCGGGGATGGCACGGGCCTGGAAGACGTTGTCAGTGTGCCCACTGTCGTAGGAGAGGACCTCCGCCCCGCGCCGCCAGTCCCACAGCTTGATCTAGGAGGGGGGGCGCCGGGGGGTCAGGGTTCAGGTGGCGGTTGGGGTCAAGTACTGTGGCCTATGCACTGAGCACGGTGCATGAAGGGCCCACATGGGACAGAGCGAGAGCTGACACAGCCGCTCAGCGCCCTACCAGCTGGTCATCGCTGCCAGACAGGAGTCCTTCCCCATCAGGGGTGAAGGTTACTGTGTTCACGCAGCCTACCGCATGAGGAGGGGAGGGAAGGGTGGGCTGCGATTCTGGGACCTATCGCACACATGCTGAGAAACCCAAATGTACCTGTGTGGCCTTCCAGGCGCCGCGTCAGCCCCAGCCGCTGCAGGAGGTGGAGCGAGGCCCCGACCCGGCTCCGAAACCGGCTGGGGGACAGCAGGCCCTCCCGCTGCGCCTCGGCATCGCTGTACAGGGTCATCTCCCTCAGTCCACCATCGTGACTCCGGTGTGTGCTGCGTCTGTGATCGCCTGGGCCGGCATGTAAACGTGCGAGTCCCTGGAAGCCACGATCTGCTTCTCTCGGATACATTGTGGTGACGTGGCGAGATATGTCCCATGAACTTGGCAGCATGATGGGTGTAGTGGACTCGATTCCATTACCTCGGCATGTGCACAACGACGGTGGACTGCCACAGACATCTCCCACAATGAATGTGATTCGAGCGCTCGTGAACTGTTTGGGATTTGCAAGTTCCGTGGCATGCCAGCTCGCTGCTGCACGCCGGCAAGGCATCGCTGACCGCCCACGCACCGCAAGCCGCCACCGGAGGGCCCGTTGCCGGCGCATGGCTCCGTCGCCACCTCCCCTCACCCCGCGTCCTCGATGGCGTCCTCGTCACCTTCCGACTCCGCCTCCACAGACGTCGCAGGTGCCGCCTGCTCCTGGGCGTACAGCTGCCCCTGCCACAGCCTGGTCCAGGAGCGGGGCAACGCGGCCTGCGTCCCCGGCAGGCCCCTCAGCGCGGGCAGCACGTCGCAGGCCGCGGCGGCGCGGGGCCGCAGCGCCCCCGCGCCGCCCGCGGCCGCCCCCGCGCCCGCCACCCAGGCCAGCGCCGGCGCGTTGGCGGCCACGCCGCGCTGCGCCACGAAGAACGCCGGGCTGCGCAGCGGCAGCCAGCGCCGCGGGGCGGGGCGCTTCATCGCATGGCACAAGCCTCGCACCGCCACGGAGGATGCCGCGGATGGGGCCAGTCCCCCGTCTGGCAGCGCATCCTCGTCCATGGCCCCACGGCCTGCCGGGCCTGCGATGGGTCGGTGTGTGGGAGTGTGTGTGTGTGGGAGGAGGGGGTGAGGGAAAGGGGGGGTGGGGCGACACCTCGATGTGTCCTGGGACTCCCTTTGCCCAGATTGCAGGGCGCCCGCGGTCCGCAGGGGCGATCACACCCACTCCCAGCACACAGCGCCCAGCAGACAGCACACCGCCCGACGCGTCATGCACACCCACCCCGGAGGCGCAGGGTGCCCAGGACGTCCGAGTCGGAGAGGTACAACAGGCTGGCTGCGACGTCCTCCATCGCATCCGCAGCTGCAAACTCCAGCAGGTTCTCGTGCAGGAACAGGCTCACGCGGCCTGAAGGTGTGAGAGGAGGGGATGCATTGTTTGGTGGTGGTGGGAGGTAAGCGATCGTCTGGGAGCACCCTGGTCTTTGACGCCGCCAGGCTTGGCAGGAGGGCTCGCTGACCGAGGTACGCGGGCAGCTGCCCTCTGTGCCGCGGCAAGAGCTGTACGACCGCCAGCAACATCCAGAGCTCAAGAAAGACCTCGACAGCCCCTCGTCCTGGAATGCATCCCAACCAGCAGCTCGGCTCGCCTGCGTCGAGGTCGCAGGTCGCCAGGATGCCCTCCGGGTCGAATGCCAGGGGCCCCCGCTCCCCCTCCTCCCCTGCAGCGTCCCGCCGGTTGTACAGGACCTTGCCCAGCGCGTGAAAGGTGCCCAGCGAGGCGTCGCGCGCCGCGCCCAGCGCACTCGGCTGCGGACCGGGTGGCGGGGCCGCCACCGCCGCGGCGCGGATGGCGGCGCCCCTCGACCCCCGCTTCCTCTTGAGCTGGGCGGGGGCCGGCGCCGTGCGGGGGGGCAGCACGACGCGCCCAGCATGCAGAAGCGCAGCGTGGCCAGCGCGTTGCTGAGATCGCCGCCGCACGACTCCGCGACGCTGCGCAGCTGCGAGTTGGTGGGGGCAATGTTGAGGGGCCTTGGGTGAGAGTGAAGGAAGGAGCCAAACAGGAGCCGGGGTCATACCGGAGTGCAACAATCCAGGTCCAGCCCTTGAGTGGCCTGGGTGAGAAAGTTCGCCAGCGGCATGGAATAGCGAGCATCCAGCCCTGATCCCTGCAAGACATGTGCCTGGCCGCCCCCCACCCCCCCCCCCCACCCCTGCTCCTCGGCGAGGCTTGACCCCTGCCGCTGCAACACCTGGCGCAGGACCTTGAGGCAGTTGGCTGCCGTGATGGGATTGAGGGACAGGGAGGGAACGCCCGCGGTGGCAAGCTCGACTGATAATGCCTGCAAGGGTGTGGGGGGGGTCTGTGGCGGAGCCATGCATGCGGAGGTGACGTGGTCGGACGCAGCCTTTCAGCACGCCACAGCACTCCCCGCCACAGATCGACGCCAGATCCCCATACCTCTCACCCTGGGCAGACCGGTCTTCTCTGAGGCGGCGCCGGGTCCCTTCTGTGACCGCCCAGAGACCTCTGTCCCGCAGATGACCAGAGGCTGGGAGGCATGGCGGGCACAGCTCACTGACGGGAATATTTTCGAATGGGGAAATGGGAAAGTGAGGGTTTGAGTAATGGGTGGAGCGTCGCGGCAGCATGGCACGAGCATGGTGGCCCCGCACGCGATCCGTATTCCCCGAAACATAAAAGCAGGCTTACTCACCGAGTGCCTGCACCAACCTCCGGGCCTGGCCGGGGTCTGGGGTCAGAGGCAGGTCGGCGACCACAGTCAGGCGTGAGCCTGGCCGCTCTGAGGGCTGGCCGCGGGGAGGACCGGGGCCGCCCACTGAGGACAGGGAGAGCACCGGCATGCGAATGCGGAGCAAGCTCTCCTCAAAGGCCGAAAGCCTTGACTGATAGGACTCGCCGGGGGCTGCCTGGGAAAGGGATATGGAGGGGGAAATACTTGGGAAGAGGGGGTTCTTCTGGTCTATGAGATCAGCTGTCGCCAACACCGACGTGGAGGTGCTTGAGACTCAAACCAACATGAGCACACTACGAGGTCGGACACAGTTCCGATGCGATTCATTGCGACCTTCCTCCGCTCCTTCAATTGATTCCCGCATACTACACACTGAGGCATCCCCCAGCCACCCAACTCTTGCACCCCAGCCTCGAAACTACACTGACCGTGGCTCGCTCCTCCCAGCTGCCGCTCGCTGCTGCAGGCTGCAGCTCCACCAGGTTGAACCCCAGCTCCTGCGCCAGAACCCGGAGGAGCGTCGACTTGCCGCACCCAGGTGGCCCTGCAATTTGCGGAGGGTGGTGTGGTGGGGATGACAGGCAGTCTACCAGGTACTGCTACGACAAAAAGAGGACCCCGATCGCGTGCACCAGCGCCCCAACCCCAATCCCATCCATCCCTGACGATGTCCTCCAGCCAGTGTGCTGAGTGCGGGTGCGTCTCAAGCTGCCCCAGGAAAGAGCAGGTGCTCCGCACACCTTCCTCCCTCCCACCCTTGAACGTGCCTGTGAGCACCAGGGCGGCTGAGCCGGGCCGTGTCGGCCCGTGTGGAGCCTGAGCGGCGTCCCGGCGCGCTGCCAGCCACGCCCTCACCTCCGCAACCTTCTTCGGGTGGATGACCAGCTGCTCTGATGCGCGGGGGGCGATGGCCCAGCCATCCTTGTCTTCCTGGGGGCCCGAGAGCGCGGCGCCAGGGAGGGGCGGCGCGGACCGTGATGCGCGTGGCCCGCGCTGGCTGGCGGGCTGCGGCGAGCTGGCGGGTGTGGAGGCGGCTGCTGGTTGCGAGAGGGATGATGCAAGGTGAGGGGAGGGGCCGTGCCATGAGTGCAGCTACTCGAGCCACAGAGCAACACGCCACCTCCGAGGTGCTGCTCGCATCTCCAATGCCATACCCGCCCCACCGCTCTGTGGCTGCTGGCTGCTGGTGAGGTACATGGACAGCGTTTGCTGGCGTGAGGTGGAAGACGTCTGCGCATCGAGAGAGCACGAGGGTGAGGCCAGAAGGTCTCATTGCGTGGAAGGGATGCTGCATGCACCACGGTTCATCGCAATGGGGAACTTGAAGGGTTCTCCAAAGCTTGCCATGCCCGAGAATCGGACTGGACATTCCCCACCTCCCGCCGTAGCCCTACCTTGCTTGAACCGGAGGGGCGGAGCGGGGGTGCCACATCCTTAGTTTCCTCCTCCACGACATCCTCATCATCACCACTTGAATCGATGATGTCCCACGGAGGGGCAGGCAGCTGCCGCCTGCGCGTCCTCATAGTACAGTCATGCCCAAATGCCCTGGGTCAGGGCCCAACAATCAGTCGGTCCTGCCTTGGCCAGGCAGCATGAATTGAGCTTGCAGAAGAGCACTCAGATGCAGATCCGCTCAGGCACGCTTCAGTGCAGCTTGGAGGTGACCGATGAAGTGACCAGAGGACGGCATGCCTCGATGAGGAGGCTCACCCTCTCGCAGTTGCCAACCTCAGGACGATTCAGCTCAGTCACGAAGGTAAGGTGATACAGGTGGTGTCTAAGATGTATTGGGAGTCGGTGGGACTGGCTCGAGCTGCCAACTGAGATCACGTCCCTGCGCGGACCAACACCTCTCCCCAAACTTGGTTCTGGACCTCTAAGAGCCCGTAACAATCTCGATGATAGAATCAATTAACATCTTGCCACAGGGTGTATCGAAATCGCGATCTTGGCCCCCTGCTTCGCAGTGCTCCATCCCGACCATGCTAGGCATGCTCGCATGGAGTTTTGAGGGAGGCGGGGGTCTGACGCCTGCCGCACTGTGAGATTTCAAGTACAACCACGGTAGCCTCGCGAGCATTGGGACCTCCACGCGCAACTGTTCCGTCAAGCTCCGGTGAAGTTTGGCATGTGGCCATAGCACTTGGAGGGTGTAACACCCACGAGTTACATTTCCCATGTGCTCGCCGGCACCAGCTGACACTGGTGTTGCCCAACGTACCACCCCAGCAGCAGGCCCTCCTTCACGTGCCAGGGCGCATTCAAAAATTTTATGTGAACCTTGAATGACACATGCTCCTATTCAACCTTCAAGGATAAAGCCTAGACCCTCAGATGAGTGCATTTGTAAGTAAGTGTGATGTACTCAGGCACAAAGCCTAGCCTGGTCTGGGGTGACTTTTGCTTGCACTGGCCATGCTTTTCTATTTCATGTGCTCTTGATGGAAACTTACCGCTTGGTGCCTGCGCTTTGAGGCATGCTTTGCCCATGGGCAATGTAGAAATAATTGCTGCCAAAACCAGCAACTAACCGAATGGTCAGGTTCCCATCTGTACATTCATGAACGCGGATGCCATGCCTCCTTCGTCTCTGTGCAGAAGAAAGTCGCCGAAAGGCAGCGCTACGGCACTTCATTATCTGTGACCTCTGCCAAAGGATGAATTCCTAGGTAGTAGACGTGGCTAGGAGACGGAACTCTGCCAAGCAGACGCCAGCAACCATTTGCACAAGGGTGTTCAAGTCGAAGCTTGGCCAGGTCAGACACTCCGGCCCCCATTCAGGCAAGTCTGAAGTCTACTTGTGCCCAATCGCGAGTTATTTGCAGCGGCGCATAGCGGTATCAGTGCCAGGCTTGGATAGAAAACACATCCGGATTGTCCGGTACTCGAGCCGTCGGTCTTTAACCTGGGTGCGGGTTAAATTTGTAACCATCTCTGACGCGGAGAGGAAGCTACAAGTTTCCGTACAAGAACTGCGAATGGAACCATTTGCACCACACTGTTCCCATCTCGGCAAATTAAATAACTGATCCCCCGATGTCATCCAACACGCTGCCCAAGCGGGTTTTGGTAGCCATCACCAGTTACAATGGTGCACTGTATGACGATGGCAAGCGCACCGGCCTCTACTGGTCCGAAGCCCTCCACCCATACAATGTCTTCGTCGAGGCGGGTTTCGAGGTGGATGTGGCCAGCGAGAAGGGCACCATGGGCTACGACGAGCACTCCATCGAGGGCGACGGCCTCGACCCCGAGTCGAAGGAGGCATGGGAGGACGTAAACAACCCCCTGAAGAAGGCCCTGAAGGAGAGCCTGCTGAAGGCCGCGGACGTCGACCCCCCCAAGTACGGCATCTTCTTCGGTGCGGGCGGGCACGGCGCGATTTACGACTACCCCGGGGCCTCTGGTCTCCACGCGGCGGGCAGTGCAATCTACGGTGCTGGTGGTGTCATCGCGGCGGTGTGCCATGGGCCCGCCATCCTACCGGGGATCAAGGACCCCGCCACCGGCCAGCCGGCCATCAAGGGCAAGAAGGTGACAGGGTTCACCAAGGTAGGCGAGGAACAGATGGGGCTGCTCGAGAGCATGCGCAAGGACAAAGTGCACACCATCGAGGAGTTGGTCACCGAAGTGGGTGCCAAGTATGTCCAGGTAGGGAGGGATGGAGAGCAGCATGTGCGTAAGGGAGGGATATTGTGGCTGGCGTCATTGTATGGGTCTTCTTGTGGAGATGGTGGATGCTCAGATCACTCACAAGGAGACTTGCTCCTTGAGTTCAGATTTCCGAGAAGCGATCTGCTCAGGATTGATACTATACCCTGATTCTGAAGCAACTTATCAAGATACCCTGCCTTTCTGTACAGCCTCCTGGAGGACCTTTCGATGACTTCAGCTACACTGATGGCAGGGTAGTGAGTGGAGTGAACCCCGCCAGCGCAAAGTCTACCGCGCAGGCTGCCCTGAAGGCATTTGAATCCTCCCAGTGAGGAGGCTGAACATGATCCATAGTGACTGCTGTGTGACGTCGTCAGTGCGCAGAGAGACCTTTGGCTTTTGACAGATTGGATTGGTGCATGCAGAAATCCTGTCTATTCCCAATGGCTTGTATCGACCCAAGAAGGATACTGTACCAGGGAAGAAAACCCTGTCTTCGTCCAGTTTACGCGAGTTATCGGAGTAGGTGCCAGGAGGTGGAATGACAGGGAACGCGCGCGTTGGGTAGGTGGGTCGATTTCGGCCAACACCAGACAAGTACAAAGACAAACAGTGCTAGCGAAGCTGTGTAAAAAGGTCGAAATATTCACTCGGTCAAGATCCCGGTGTATGGCAGACCTGCGCCCACATCTTGTGTTCGCAGGGATCGTCGTTGGGAAGTGATCCGCACGGCAACTCACCGCTTCCACACGCCGATTCCACGGCATGGACGACGTGGACAGGGTCCTGTTTGTATGTAGGGAACTCGATGTGTACAAGATCCCTCCCAGAACCGGAGCGGGTGGGCACAGGTCGGGCGAGTGGCGCGTGGACGACAAGATCTTCACCGCCCGCTGCCGTGTCATGGCGCGAGGGCAGGCCCTTGAGATCCGACTGGAGGACACCACCACGTACGTATGTGAGGCATGGCAACTTTATTCTCGCATGGGCCCCAGCACCCGCGTCCCTCGTGGGTCCAATTCCGCCACGGGACTCCCATTGCCTATGCAGGGGGGATGTGTTTGGAGTCTGCCCCGTCCCCAGGGGGCAACTACACCTGGTAGTGGAACCCGCGGCCGACTCCTCCCGAAACTTTGTCGTGCGTTTGGAGGACGCCGCCTCCAAGCGCCACGCCTTCGTGGGCATCAACTTTGCAGAGCGCTCCACCGCTTTTGATTTCTCGGTGGCGCTGGTGCGTGCCTGAGGGGATGTGGAGTGGTGCTGCTCCATGTTTGGCACGAATGGGACTAGACTGAATCCCCTGCGGATTTTGCACCCAGAGTTCCAGCAAAGGCCTGCTTGCGCAGGCTCGATGGCACCAGAAACTGACTGATGCCCACTTCTTCGTCATCTCGTAGAGCGACCACGAGAAGCAGCTGCAGCGTGCCGACAAGCTGCAACACATCGAGGCGTCCGACGACCCGCTCGCCGCCGCGGCGAAGTCGCTGCCTGAGGCGGCGGCCCTGTACCAGAAGCAAGATCTGGCGCTGGAGGAGGGCACCACCATCAGGTGTGGGAATATGAATCTTGGTGAGGACCTGTCGAGCAGGTTTGTGTGCCGCTGCTGCCATGTTCACCTGGCCCCCTCCACGATCCCGGCACATGCATGGGGGTCTCCTCTCCATGAGGCTGAGCATGCATGCCCCCGCCCCCCGTCGCAGGTTGGCGGTGCGCAGGCCAGAGGGTGGCGCGGCGGGCGGCTTCCTCTCTCGCCTGCCGGTCCAGGGAGGCGCCCTGGCCTCCCCCGGCAAGGGCATCGGCCTGGCTGCCCCTCCCGCGCCCAGTAACGGTGCCTCCACGGCCCCTGCCGCGCCGCGCGCCTTCGATCCCCCCCCCTCCGCCGCGCTGCAGGGCGCCCCAGTCCTCCCCCCTCCCGCGTCGGGCGGAGAGGCAGGCTGGGCGACTTTCGATTGACCCTCCCGTGGCCGCTCCCCTGATCCCCTTCACATGCCACCAGTCAGCCATGGGCACCCCTCCCCCCGTGACCCAGAGGCATGCCTCCTGTTACAGGCACCCTGCATGCGCACATCTCAGATCACGCATACTCGTTGGGCTTGATGACGTCGTCGATCTTGAGGATCATCTTGCAGACCTGGGTGGCGAGCTGGAGCTGCTGCCGCTTGCCCGCCAGCGTCTCAAACACGTTTTGCGCACGCATGTCGTTGGTGCCCAGGTCGTTGCAGTCGATGCCGAGGTGGGGGTCGCCCTCCGTCAGCTGCCGCGTCTTGACCTCGGTCAGGCTGGCGATGGGCGCCAGGCCCGAGTTCTCGGCCAGGGACAGCGGGATCACGTCCAGCGCGTCGGCAAAGGCGCGCATGGCATACTGCTCCACGCCGCCCACACGCTCCGCGGCGGCCTCCACGGCCAGCGAGCAGGCCATCTCCGCCGCGCCGCCTCCGTAGACCACGCGGTTGTCGCGCACCAGATTGCGCGCCACGCACAGCGCGTCGTGCAGGGAGCGCTTGGTCTCCTCCAGCACCATCTTGTTCCCGCCGCGCACGAAGAGCGTGACCGCGCGCGAGCCGGGGCAGCCCTCCACCAGCAGCATGCGGTCGCGGGTGGTGCCGAAGCTGACCTCCTTGACCAGAGCCGCGGAGCCCAGCTTGGAGGCGTCCAGTTCCTGGAAGCGCGGCACGATGCGCGCGCCGGTGGCCAATGCCAGCAGCTCGATCTCCACGCCGCCCACCCAGCGCACCGCCGGCAACCCCTCGTGCATCAGCAGGTGGTTGGCCTCGTCGTCAAACCCCCACTGGCACACCACCAGCGTCGCGCCGGAGGCCTTGCAGGCGCGCACCATGTCGGTGAAGTAGGCCTTCTCTGCGCCGCGCAGCGCCTCGAACTTCTCCACCGTGTCGATGTCCACCTGGGATTTGGGATGGGATGATGTTGCGACTCGGTGGCGGGGAGGGCGGCGAAGTGTTGTGGGGCCTGGGAATGCTGGCTGAACGGCTTGGTGAGGAGGGCCTTGCATTGCTCCGGTGCTCAGCCCCCCGGGTCTGGTGCGGGCTCCATCCCTCCAAGCTGGGGCAACCAGGACGACGGCCCGCGGGCACTCCCGCTGCCACCTCCCCCCCACCCCCCCCCACCCTTGTGCTTGGTTTTGGGCTTTGGCGGCTCAAAGGGGCAGGTCAGGATGGCTATCTTCACGTCGTGCAGCTCCTTAGGCATCTGGGGATGGCTCATGTCCTTGTCCAGGATGACGCCCTGCACGAGGCGGGAGTCCTCCAGGCGCCCGCCCACCTTGCCGTCCAGCTGCCGGGCAGAGGGCAAAGGGGGTTGGAGGAGAGAAGAGGGCGCGAACTTTGCACTGCAGCCGGCTATCCCCCAGGCAAGGGCACATCGTGTCCCACATCCACAGCCGATGCCCTCCCGAGTCACCACACCTTGATGAGGTCCAGGTTGACGTCTTTCCTCTCCAGGTCGGCCACGGTCAGCACGGCCTCCACACACATCTCAGCCAGGGGCCGCTTGTACCGCCCCACACTGTGCGTGGTTGGAAAGGGGGGAATGCTGAGCAGAGAGAACGGAGTTTGAGGGGGAAGGCATGAGGCCAGTGTACCCCTGCTGGACAAGAACCCTGCCCAGCGCCCCACACCCCGATACACACTGCCAGGTCGGCAGGGAAAGGACGGTCAGAGCCCCCGGCCCTCCTCACATCTTGGAGCTGAGCGTCGTCATGCAGGTCTTGATCAGGGGCTCCAAGTCCTCCTTGGTGCCGGTGCCAAAATCGAAGCGGGTGGAGATGCGTTCCAGCTCCGCGGTGGCAATCTTGCAGGCCATCTCGTATCCCTCCGCGATCCTGAAGGCATTGGATGGCATGGTGGGGTGTGTGAGAGGGGCACACTGCCTTGCAGACCCCACCCTCAGGTGGACACTCAGGCTGCTCTGGCGCCAGTCCCCCGTCATTCTGAGTCCCACAGAGCAAGACACACAGTGCCACCCACCGGAGCGGGTGGATTCCCCTGTCCAGCAGGCTCTCGGCCTGCTCCAGCAGGCTGCCCGCCAGTACTGTGACCCCAGTGGTGCCGTCCCCAATCTCGTGGTCCTGCGACTTTGACAGCTCCACCAGGAGCTTGCCCACCTGATGCTCCACCTCCATCTGCTCCAGGATGGTCGCGCCATCGTTCGCTGGTGGAAAGGGCGAATTGAGGGCAAGGGTGGGAGGGGGGTGGCAAGGATACTGTCCTGGGAGCAGATCCACCTAGGCCAATCCCACCCTTCCATGACTTCAGCGGAATGAGGGGGTAGCAGCGCAGAGGGAATATGAAGGTTAAAGAGCAGGGCAGAGGAGGTTTGGGGTGACATGCAGATTCAGCCTCCCATTGCTGCATGCAGGCGCCAGAGACCCATCTCAGCCCCCCCCCCCTCTCCCACGCACTGATGACAATGTCGCCGTCTGGCCCCTGGAGCAGCTTGTCCATGCCCTTGGGCCCCAGGGAGGTGCGCAGGACCCGCGACACCGCCTTGGCAGCCTGGATGTTGGACTTGACCGCCTCGATGCCCTTCACCCGACTCTGCTTCTCCTGCTCCTGCAGCACGGCGAAGGGGTGATCACGGGTTTCAGCGGGTGCCCGGTGCCAGGAACATCATCGATGGATACCCATCAAGGGCACCACGTACCCTGATGATGATGAAGGGACGCCCATACTCGTCGAATGCCAGGCTCATGGCGGGCCCGAGCCCCTGCGGCGAGATCAGACGACCAAGCAGACGGTGGCAAGCCTCGCGATTCCAGAGACACCAGTCAATGCACGTGCCACTTTAAGTGAAGAAATCAGTCCGACTCGAGAATAGTACCTGGCGATTGTCGGTCATGCAGGCGGAGCACTGA